CCGATGAGGTCACAGAGACTCCTGTGGTTCAAGAAAGCACTACAGACGTCATCGAGGAAACTAGTACGGCCGCTTCTATTGCTGTTGACACCACCGAAATAACCAGTACCGCCATTGTAACCGATGAAGTAGCCACCACTACTGCAGCTACCGCCACTGATGAGATCCCTGTTTCCACTACTGCTGAGGAGGCCACCGATGCCTCAGCGACCACGGATTCTCCAGTTACGGCTACCGCTGTCGCCACCACGGCCGAGGTCATCACCGAGGCCCCGGCTACCGCTGTCGCCACCACGGCCGAGGTCACCACCGAGGCCCCGGCTACCGCTGTCGCCACCACGGCCGAGGTCATCACCGAGGCCCCGGCTACCGCTGTCGCCACCACGGCCGAGGTCATCACCGAGGCCCCGGCTACCGCTGTCGCCACCACGGCCGAGGTCATCACCGAGGCCCCGGCTACCGCTGTCGCCACCACGGCCGAGGTCATCACCGAGGCCCCGGCTACTACCATTGAAGCGATTAACGCTGAGACTACTTTCAGTCCGAGTACGTAGACTTACGTAAAATGAAGCTTCGACATGTTCGGTGAACCGCATTTTCATACAGCCCAGGTAGCGGCACTGCATGACGTCTTGATAGTGTATGAGTGCATATTTTCGAGTTGCGTTGATAGTAGTGGTGGCCACCACCATACCAAGGGTATCGAGAGGGTATCTTGATCCACACACTGGTGGTATTCTAACACATAATACCTGTGAAATGGAGTGTAACTACCTAGCAGACTGCCTCCGTAACCACCTGACCAACGGTGCCCCGCCGCTGCTCATGAGGAAGATAATTTGATCTAATGCCTCTGTCGCTACTCGCGATCCACACGCGCACGTCGAATACGGTAGCGCACGCCCGTGACGTGAGACGTGACGTGACGTGAGACGTGACGCGGAGACGCGACGCCTCTCAATCCAACCCCGTCTCCCATTGCTCTTTATATACCTTACATTGGCTAACTTACGCTACGACTTGGGTTAGTCATATGGCGACACCTGATGAACTACAAACTCTCCGTCAAGCCCGAACCCGAGCCCGCCAGAGCCGTACACGAGCATTCACACGACTATCTGATGTCCGAGAAAGGATCAAGAATCTCTGTACCAACGACGAAGACGACGAGAATGTCCTGGCGGTCTTGGAAGCTCAAGAAGAGGAACTCGCTCGAGCATACGTCGAAGCCGATCAACAAGCAACAGCGGCAGAACGAGCCTATGAAGAAGCGACATCGACGAGCCCACCAACGACACCACTGCTTACGCCAGCAGGGTCAACCGGATTCAACGTCCAGGGAGACTCCAGTAATCTCTTGAGACGGAACGACGGATCGGCGGCAAACACCTCCTCTTTTCGCCAGCCTGATTTCCCAGAAGCTCCAACCCGCAGGGCAGCTACGAGATGTACCGCCGCTGAAGTGACCAAGCTCGTCCTGCCAAACCTCATCGACTCAGCTTACCTCAAGGTACACTATGACGACGTGGAGGACACCCTCGTAGAAGCTGGTGCGGCAACGAGGAGCACTTCGGGCCCCATCCAAGTGAACCCCGAGGTCCGCCGGTCGGTAATGACGAAGTTTATCGGTACCCTCACGAACTCTGAAGTGAAGCCAGTGCACCAAGCAGCTCAATCGGCTGCTCGAACAGGACGTTCCGACTGGAACCACGTTCGCCAACTTCTGTTAGGACGGTTCTGTCGAAGATCCCAATTGAAGTCGA